TGCTCGCTACTTTTCAGTAATATGTTTGTTTAGAATAACGATTAAATCTCGTATGAGAAGCGCATTTCCGACACTCGGTGTTCTCGTGACCACCGCAATCTTCTCGTGTGACCACTAGGGTATTGAACAACCGCGATGGCCTCCTCCCGACATAGATCAAACACTTTCAGCAGCAGGACATCCGATTAACATATTCCCTTCGCCTTCCCCCCCCGCAGCAGGACATCCGATTAACATATTCCCTTCGCCTTCCCCCCCCCACGGGCGACGGTTTTTCTCCTAAAATCCCACAAATGGCATTCAAAACTAGACTTATGAAAGATGCCTGAGTTTTTTTACCGTCTGCCCCCCTACCGCAGTTCCATTACTGGCAACGCCAAATGTTCTGCATCATTGTTATGTACAAAGAGGTAGCTCAAAGATATTTACCTATCTTTCACTAATAAAACTGAACTGAACTGACACTATGTGACGGGTCAGTGGACACCTTTGAGGGCCTGCACAAGCCCTGCGAGTGGCCTTAATTCGGTCGTTCCTGTCGTCTTTAATCGGTCTGCCTGGTCATGAGACACTTGAAACTGTCCACCTACCCGAACTGACATTTAATAGTCGGGAGTGGTGTTTACTGATCAGAAATGCAGTTAAATAATGCATTGATTTCTACAGCTCTCATGGATAAAGCGACTAGTAAATCAATTTGGCTAATCTAAAACACTACACCCTCCATGTCCTTATGAGTCCGTCTTGGTTGGACAGCTCGCAGTTTGCCACCCGATAACCTCAATAGGACTCATACGTGGACTGCGTACGTGGCATGTTAACAGAATGAGGTCTTACGATTCATTGCTATAAAAAACCTCCTGTTTCGCCGCAACTCTCAAAGCACCTTGATCTATTTCATATTAAAGCTACCTTAGAGATTTTAGTTAACTTCCAGTTTCGCATCAGCAAAATCAAATTCAACGAAATATATGAGGACCCATAACTAAATATTTTACAGGCACAATAAAAAGACTTGAATTTAAGGATGTAACGGTGAGCGATGGGATTGTAATTTTTTGAATATATTTGAAGAAACTTACTAGAGATTTCTCAGGTAAAAGGTAAGACGCATCCTCGACCAACTCGCTGTCGAGATTTTGAAAGCACATGAAGTAGGAAGAGTTGATATCATTTTCGCCATTTTCGTCTTTTGAGAAACCATGGCTTTTTAGTTTCTTCGCAAAACCTTCAGAAACACTGGCATGGAGGGCAAACTGGAGAGCTCGATGATTATTGTTTTAATAGCAAAGTACCTTTCGATCGAGGATAACACTCTCCTTGGCACATTCCTCCAAAATTCCAGCAAATCGTTTAGCAAGGAAAATGTTTCGCTGCGAGCTCTGATCGAAAGATCTGGCCATTTGACTTCACGTGGCCTACTTTGAAAAATTTAAAAAGTCAGATCATGTAGGATGAAAAAGATGTCGCGTGCGAATAATTTTAAAATACGTCTCTTAGGAAGGAGAAGGCGCACGACGTTATCAAGTTAAGAAAGCCATGAGTAGG